ATCGTGGCCTTGGGTATGACATTTAAAGCATGCTAATATCTCGTACATTGATGTTTTGGGATTGAATCGTGGCCTTGGGCATGACATTTAAAACATGCTAATATCTGGTACATTGATGTTTTGGGATTGAATCGTGGCCTTGGGCATGACATTTAAAGCATGCTAATATCTGGTACATTGATGTTTTGGGATTGAATCGTGGCCTTGGGCATGACATTTAAAGCATGCTAATATCTGGTACATTGATGTTTTGGGATTGAATCGTGGCCTTGGGCATGACATTTAAACGTGCTAATATCTGGTACATTGATGTTTTGGGATTGAATCGTGCCTTGGGCAGACATTTAAACGTGCTAATATCGGTACATTGATGTTTTGGGATGAATCGTGGCCCTTGGGCAATGACATTTAAAGCATGCTAATATCTCGTACATTGATGTTTTTGGGATTGAATCGTGGCCTTGGTATGACATTTAAAGCATGCTAATATCTCGTACATTGCTGTTTTGGGATTGAATCGTGGCCTTGGGCATGACATTTAACGCATGCTAATATCTGGTACATTGATGTTTTGGGATTGAATCCTGGCCTTGGACATGCACCTTTAAAACATGCTAATATCTTGGTACATTGATGTTTTGGGATTGAATCGTGGCCTTGGGCATGACATTTAAAGCATGCTAATATCTGGTACATTGATGTTTTGGGATTGAATCGTGGCCTTGGGCATGACATTTAAAACATGCTAATATCTGGTACATTGATGTTTTGGGATTGAATCGTGGCCTTGGGCATGACATTTAAACATGCTAATATCTGGTACATTGATGTTTTGGGATTGAATCGTGGCCTTGGGCATGACATTTAAAACATGCTAATATCTGGTACATTGATGTTTTGGGATTGAATCGTGGCCTTGGGCATGACATTTAAAACATGCTGATATCTGGTACATTGATATTTTTGGTTTGAAAATTCTAAACCTAGCACTTGTTACGTCCCAAAATGCACCTTATTTCCTATATAGTGCACTTCTTTTGACCAGGACCCATAGAGCTCTGGTTGAAAGTATCACACTATGAAGGGAATAGGGTGCCATTTGTGATGCGCCCCTCTGTCCTAATCCATAGACTGCTTCCAAGGTAACGAAACCACACTGACACCTGGACCAGACCGGACCACCTGGACCAGACCGGACCACACATAACCTCACAGTAGTTATCGCTAAAGTTCTAAACCCCAATCAGAATGGACTTGGATGTCAGTTATTGAGAGAACAGCAGTCATGAGGTAAAAATGTCGTCTTTAGCTACCGCAGTTTGTAAACGATGTTAATGCAATCTGTGAATCATGAATACACAGTGTTTTATAAGCCCAAGTGGGCAGGGCATCCTGAAGACGCAAGAAAGTGTACTAACAAAATGTATCAAATTAAATCATTTCTCCCCCCTGGTTTCTTGGAGGTATACAGAGGAGGTTATGCCATGTGGACTGGAGTTTTGAGGCTGAAAGGAGAGGCTATGCTAAGCTAGGAGGAAGGGAGAAGTGAGGGAGCTGGTGAGAAATAGAACCAGTAACAAGCTTAGGAGAGAGACCAAGGAGCTAGGAGAGAGATCAAGGAGCTAGGAGAGGGATCAAGGAGCTAGGGAGCGAGAAGAGAGACATGAAACTAGAGCCATCAAGGAGAGAGATTATTTTCTAGAGAAGACAACTGGGATCTACAACAAAGGATCTAGAAAATAAAATAAAGATGACTAGATGATCTAGAAAAGCGATGGAGGCTAGACCAAACTAGACGACCAAGACTAGACTAAATTAGACGACCAAGACTAGACCAAACTAGACGACCAAGACTAGACCAAACTAGACGACCAAGACTAGACCAAACTAGACGACCAAGACTAGACCAAACTAGACAACCAAGACTAGACCAAACTAGACGACCAAGACTAGACCAAACTAGACGACCAAGACTAGACCAAACTAGACGACCAAGACTAGACCAAACTAGACGACCAAGACTAGACCAAACTAGACGACCAAAACTAGACCAAACTAGACGACCAAAACTAGACCAAACTAGACGACCAAGACTAGACCAAACTAGACGACCAAGACTAGACCAAACTAGACGACCAAAACTAGACCAAACTAGACGACCAAGACTAGACCAAACTAGACGACCAAGACTAGAGCAAACTAGACGACCAAGACTAGACCAAACTAGACGACTAAGACTAGAGCAAACTAGACGACCAAGACTAGACCAAACTAGACAACCAAGACTAGAGCAAACTAGACGACCAAGACTAGACCAAACTAGACGACTAAGACTAGACCAAACTAGACGACCAAGACTAGACCAAACTAGACAACCAAGACTAGACCAAACTAGACGACCAAGTCTAGAGCAAACTAGACGACCAAGACTAGACTAAATTAGACTACCACGACTAGACAGCTCATAGCTCATTGGTCACCATAGCAACACCCACCCGTAGTCTGCGCTCCAGCAGGTATATCTCACTGGTCATCCCCAAAGCCAACACCTCCTTTGGCCGCAATTCCTTCCAGTTCTCTGCTGCCAATGACTGGAACAAATTGAAAAATTCTGAAGCTGGAGACACTTATCTGCCCACTAACTAAGCATCAGTTGTGCAAAGCACCTTAACGATCCACTGCACTGACACAGACCATCTGAAATAGCCGCCCAACTACCTCATCCCTATATTGTTATTTATTTGCTCATTTGTACCCCAGTATCTCATTGCACATCTATCTCTTGCACATCTATCATCCAGTGTTAATACTAATTGTAATTATTTTGCACTAAGCCTATTATTGCCTTACCTCCAAACTTGCTACATTTGCACACACTGATATATATGTATTTCTGTGTATTTTTGACTTTGTTTTGTTTTACCCCATATGTAACTCTGTAGTGTGTTTTTATCGCACTGCTTGCTTTATCTTGGCCAGGTCGCAGTGTAAATGAGAACTGTTCTCAATGGTTTACTGGTTAAATTAAAGAGTGAAATAAAAATAAAATAAAAATAAATAGACCAAACTAGACGACCAAGACTAGACCAAACTAGACGACCAAGTCTAGAGCAAACTAGATGACCAAGACTAGACCAAACTAGATGACCAAGACTAGAGCAAACTAGACGAACAAGACTAGACTAAATTAGACGACCAAGACTAGAGCAAACTAGACGACCAAGACTAGACCAAACTAGACGACCAAGTCTAGAGCAAACTAGACGACCAAGACTAGACCAAACTAGACGACCAAGACTAGACCAAACTAGATGACCAAGACTAGACCAAACTAGACGACCAAGACTAGACCAAACTAGACGACCAATACTAGACCAAACTAGACGACCAAGACTAGACTAAATTAGACGACCAAGACTAGACCAAACTAGACACCAAGATAGACTAAATTAGATGACCAAGACTAGACCAAACTAGACGACCAGTCTAGAGCAAACTAACGACCAGACTAGACCAAATTAGACGACCAGACTAGAGCAAACTAGACGACCAAGACTAGACCAAACTAGCCGACCAAGTCTAGAGCAAACTAGACGACCAAGACTAGACCAAACTAGACGACCAAGACTAGACCAAACTAGACGACCAAGACTAAACCAAACTAGACGACCAAGACTAGACTAAATTAGACGACCAAGACTAGACCAAACTAGACAACCAAGACTAGACTAAATTAGACGACCAAGACTAGAGCAAACTAGACGACCAAGACTAGACCAAACTAGATGACCAAGACTAGACCAAACTAGACGACCAAGACTAGACCAAACTAGACGACCAAGACTAGACCAAACTAGACGACCAAGACTAGACTAAATTAGACGACCAAGACTAGACCAAACTAGACGACCAAGACTAGACTAAATTAGATGACCAAGACTAGACCAAACTAGACGACCAAGTCTAGAGCAAACTAGACGACCAAGACTAGACTAAATTAGACGACCAAGACTAGAGCAAACTAGACGACCAAGACTAGACCAAACTAGACGACCAAGTCTAGAGCAAACTAGACGACCAAGACTAGACCAAACTAGACGACCAAGACTAGACCAAACTAGACGACCAAGACTAAACCAAACTAGACGACCAAGACTAGACTAAATTAGACGACCAAGACTAGACCAAACTAGACAACCAAGACTAGACTAAATTAGACGACCAAGACTAGAGCAAACTAGACGACCAAGACTAGACCAAACTAGATGACCAAGACTAGAACAAATTAGACTATCTAGGATAGACAACTAGACAAATGTCACCCGATCTCCTATATAGGGCACTACTTTGAACAGAGCCCTATGGGATAAAACAGGTAAAAGCAACAAGAGGAAAAAGTAGTGAATTACATAGGGAATAGGGTGCCATTTGGGAGAAGGAAAGCAAAATGAACGCTTTCACTATGACCATGACCCTCTTTATCTGGATCACTCCTGACACCTGGTGGCCAACAACCAACATTACAACTCATAAGGTATACAATGGATTAATACTCAGGAATACTGGATATGAACAGTACATATATGCAATTGCATTCGTACAGTACATTCAATGAATGAATGCTACCTCTATAATAACCATGGAGAAGTTTGTATCCATTACATCATCTTATCAAACAGGGGATTTCATAGAACAAACAACAATGCATCTTAATATACGCTGATGGCTTGGAATGGTTAGTTTTCTATACAATACCATGGAATGGTTAGTTTTCTATACAATACCATGGAATGGTTAGTTTTCTATACAATACCATGGAATGGTTAGTTTTCTGATACAATAACATGGAATTTGGTTAGTTTTCTGTACCAATACCATGGAATGGTTAGTTTTCTATACAATACAGGGTAGTTTATAAACCCATGGAATGGTTAGTTTGCGATACAATACAAACCATGGAATGGTTAGTTTTCTATACAATACCATTGAATGGTTAGTTTTCTATACAATACCATGGAATGGTTAGTTTTCTATTAAACAAAATTACCATGGAAAAAATGGTTAGTTTTCTATACACATATCATGGGAATGGTTAGGGGGGGGGGGGTTTTCTATACAATACCATGGAATGGTTAGTTTTCTATACAATACCATGGAATGGTTAGTTTTCTATACAATACCATGGAATGGTTAGTTTTCTATACAATACCATGGAATGGTTAGTTTTCTGTACAATACCATGGAATGGTTAGTTTTCTATACAATACCTTGGAATGGTTAGTTTTCTGTACAATACCTTGGAATGGTTAGTTTTCTATACAATGTCATGGAATGGTTAGTTTTCTATACAATATCATGGAATGGTTAGTTTTGTATTCAATATCATGGAATGGTTAGTTTTCTATTCAACATCATGGAATGGTTAATTTTCTATACAATATCCATGGAATGCTTAGTTTTCTATTCAACATCATGGAATGGTTAATTTTCTATACAATATCATGGAATGGTTAGTTTTCTTTGGACAATAAAGTTTTATTCTTTACAGTGTATAGAATATAGTAAAAGTTTATTGGATGGAATTTAACGGTAGAAGAGCAGCACAGCAGCTTCGGTGATCTCCCTGGACGCACTCCAGCCTATGTTGGTCCCGTAACCATCCCAGTCAAAGCTAGTGAAGTCACCACACTGTCTGGGAGCATCGCTAGGGAAGTGTCCACCACCACCTATACAATACTGCACACACACACACACACACACACACACACACACACACACACACACACACACACACACACACACACACACACACACACACACACACACACACAGGTTATGAAACAGATGGACTCATACATGTCATTTAAATGCTTGCACAACACAATACACACACAGCAATTATTTGTCTTAAAAGAATACCACGATTCTTCCTTTTAACTCACATGTTCAGTGTTGCAGCCGGTTGGTTTGACCCCAGAACAGATGGCCATGGCCTGCTCGTTCGTTGTTTATCGCTCTGAACGTGATGAAGCCAGGTTGAAACTCATCTTTAGGAGAAAAGAAAACATCACAGACACATGATATGAATGTCTACAAGCCAGGTCATTTATTCCATAGACACATTTCCCTTCTGTGTAAACTTAATCACAGTAAAGTTGTTGTTATCTACAGGTGTATATTTAGTTTGATTCACCATTCTATTATTTCTGTGTGTCATGGTGGATAAAATATGATTAAATAAAAGTCACATACTTTCTTTAGTTGAAGAAAGACGTGTTAATACATGTCTACAGATATATTTCATTTCAGTGCATTCATCGCTCTCTTTCATTAGCTCATGGTTGATCAAATTAAAGAAGCCCCATACTTCTTACGTTGGGTCCATACAGCTCTCTGGTGGTCTCCGTGTCTCCATGGTCATAGACAACAGGAATGGATGGTCCTCTGTCGCTGCAAGACCCCACGTTGTACCTCACTGGATGGGTCTGGCACATTAGAACACAATATCATTCATGTCGAGCTTTAATCAAGCACCCATCTGGGTGACCAAGTGGGTGAGCCACGAGACTGTGTTAGCCTACTGAGCTAAAGCCTAGGCATCAGCTTGATGCATTAGTTTGTCAAAGTTATTCATAATGTGGACCGAACTACCTCTAGCACCTGTGTAAGTAAATACAACAAGAATGCGTGCATTGAACTGTGTGTGTGTGCGGGTGTGTGTGTGTACGTGTGTGTGTGTGTGTTTACGTGCATGCGTATTTTGTACGCGTGTGTGTACGTGCGTGTCTGTGTCTGTGTGTAGGTGCGTGTGTGTCTGTGTGTAGGTGCGTGTGTGTGTGTACGTGCGTGTCTGTGTGTAGGTGCGTGTGTGTCTGAGTGATACCTTGAAGAGTTGGTGCAGGTTGCCTCCTTGCAGGGTGAGGAAGCGTCTCTCTGTGTGGTAGCGCAGGATGGAGGCCAGGTTCCAGTGTTCCAAAGGAGAGTTGTTGGGGACGTGCCACACAGACATGTCCTCCGCCACGATGTCATAATACCCAGGGTTCTGAGGGAGACAGAGGGAGATGTATTAATACCCAGGGTTCTGAGGGAGACAGGAGATGTATTAATACCCAGGGTTCTGAGGGAGACAGGAGGATATTTATTAATACCCAGGGTTCTGAGGGAGACAGGTGGAGATGAATTAATCTTCTGAGGGAGACAGGAAGAGATGTATTAGTACCCAGGGTTCTGAGGGAGAGGGGAGGAGATGTATTAATACCCAGGGTTCTGAGGGAGACATGAGATGTATTAATACCCAGGGTTCTGAGGGAGACAGGATATGTATTAATACCCAGGGTTCTGAGGGAGACAGAGGGAGATGTATTAATATCCAGGGTTCTGAGGGAGACAGGAGGATATGTATTAATACCCAGGGTTCTGAGGGAGAGGGGAGGAGATGTATTAATACCCAGAGTTCTGAAGGAGACAGGAGGAAATGTATTAATACCCAGGGTTCTGAGGGAGAGGGGAGGAGATGTATTAATACCCAGGGTTCTGAGGGAGACAGGAGGAGATGTATTAATACCCAGGGTTCTGAGGGAGACAGAGGGAGATGTATTAATACCCAGGGTTCTGAAGGAGACAGGAGGAGATGTATTAATACCCAGGGTTCTGAGGGAGACAGGAGGAGATGTATTAATACCCAGAGTTCTGAAGGAAACAGGAGGAAATGTATTAATACCCAGGGTTCTGAGGGAGACAGGAGGAGATTTATTAATACCCAGGGTTATGAGGGAGAGGGGAGGATATGTATTAATAACCAGGGTTCTGAGGGAGACAGGATATGTATTAATACCCAGGGTTCTGAGTGAGAGGGGAGGAGATGTATTAATGTCTTGCATAACACAATTCCATTCCAATTCCAGTCAATTCAGGAAATGCACTGAAATTCCAATTCCAATTCTCTTCAATGCGTTCCAATGGGAAGAATTTGGAATTGTAATTTGGTTTACTTTCTGGATAGACTGGAATTGAAATGGATTTTTTTTCTCAACCCTGCTGTATAGGTTTTCAACGTATTAGTTTACACCCCATCATATGATATAGCAATCTGATCATCTATTTAACATATCAGCTTAAACACCGTCATATGATATAGCAATCTGATCATCCATTTAACATATCAGATTAAACCCAATCATATGATATAGCAATCTGCTCATCCATTTAACATATCAGATTAAACCACATCATATGATACAGCAATCTGATCATCTATTTAACATATCAGCTTAAACCCCATCATATGATATAGCAATCTGACGCCTGACTGTACAGTCCATGAGGTGGATCTAGAAAAAGAGATCTAGACTAGACAACACTAGATGATCTAGAAAAACGCGATTGAGACTAGACCGTCTAGACTAGACAAGACAAAACAAGTCGCTCTACCTTGAAGTCATCAGAGGTGGCGCCCTCTGCTGTTCCAAAGGTGGCCCTGTTGGCCCAGTTCCCCTCTCCGTCTGGCCGGTTGGGGTTACTACCCTGCTGACTGGACCAGCGGTCGCCCACCGTGCACTTCCCATACATGTTGTTCTCGTGCACGCTCGCCACCAGGGTCCAGCCGCGGCCCGCTGTGGTCATGTCACAGAAGGTCTGGTACATCACCCCGCTGGCTGTGGTCAGATAGTACAGACCATCTGACAGACAGAGAAATATATTACAACGATATATCCACCACATACTAGTAGAAAGAGGAGGAAGCGATATTACCTGTTTTTTTGGACAAAATAACATGGGAACTTATTGCCAATGGGCAAAACATATAGAAAGAGGAGGAAGGGAAGCGCTACTAAGGGACACAGTAGTAGATGTTGGTAGACAGAAGGTGCTCTTTGGTCAAAGGGGTGAATTGGTCATCAAAAAGAAAGCAGGACCAAGGCGCTCTTCATATGCCGAAACGCGTCGGATAAAAAAAAAATATTTGTTTCTATTGAACACGCCATACTAATAAAGGCATTTTATTTAATTATATGAAGAGTGCCTTGGTCCTGCTTTCTTTTTGATATATCGACATATATTGAAAATATACATAACTACAGATATTGAAATATATAAATACATATATTGAAATACATAACTGCATATATTAAAGCATTTAACAATATATTGAACTATATGCTTACATATATTCAAGTGTATACCTAAATATACTAATATATATGTAAATATAACAAAGTAAATATCTACATATATTGATACACATATCTAAATATAACGAAATATAGCTGCCCAAATGTGATAAGTAAATTCTTTATAACCATGGTGATACTCAATGTACTGTACATGCAACACCAAACACAACCACCGGGTGGCGACAGATACACAGTACAAGATTGGCACTGCTATTCTTTCTGTTGTAATCTGAGTGATCAGACATTAATAGTTATTTCATATGCAGCACTGCAGTGTACAGCAGTTATAAACATGGATGGTCCTGTGTGACTCAGAGCAAGGCAACAATAGGATTGTGAGTTTATATCCCACTGGGGCAACCCCATGTGAAAATGTATGCACGCAATAACTGTAAGTCGCTTTGGATAAAAGCGTCTGTTTAAATGGCATATATTGTTAATATATGATTATTATCACATAAAAAAATGTTTCTTACCTTCATGTTGGTTATATCTGTCCTTTATTTCTTTACAGCTCCTGGCAACGTATCGTGTTCTGTTCCTCAGTCTGTCCAAACTGTTGAAGTCTGTTCTGGCTCCGACTGCACGTCTGCCCTCATGGACCGCCTGCACTGCTTCTGGAACGGGAATATCACCAAGATAAGAGGAAAGTTGTTTTGTATGTACATTTAAATGTTCAAATACTTGATAAGCACGTGTGTGTGTGTGTGCGTGCGTGCGTGCGTGCGTGTGTGTGTGTGCATGCGTGTGTGTGAGCGTGCGTGTGTGTGTGTGTGTGTGTGTGTGTGTGTGTGTGTGTGTGTGTGCGTGCGTGCGTGTGTGTGTGTGTGAGTGTCACACCAAGTTGAGACAGTGAAGTTGAATTAGTTGTGAGTCTGATAATTAGAAGCAGCAGTCTGCTGGAGAAAACATTACAACATTAAACACTACAGAGGATAAAACCCTATAGAGCCTGGAGGCCAGCTGGAAACATCATTACAACATTAAACACTACAGAGGATAAAACCCTATAGAGCCTGGAGGCCAGCTGGAAACAACATTACACACTACAGAGGATAAAACCCTATAGAGCCTGGAGGCCAGCTGGAAACAACATTAAACACTACAGAGGATAAAACCCTATAGAGCCTGGAGGCCAGCTGGAAACAACATTATACACTACAGAGGATAAAACCCTATAGAGCCTGGAGGCCAGCTGGAAACAACATTATACACTACAGAGGATAAAACCCTATAGAGCCTGGAGGCCAGCTGGAAACAACATTAAACACTACAGAGGATAAAACCCTATAGAGCCTGGAGGCCAGCTTGAAACAACATTAAACACTACAGAGGATAAAACCCTATAGAGCCTGGAGGCCAGCTGGAAACAACATTAAACACTACAGAGGATAAAACCCTATAGAGCCTGGAGGCCAGCTGGAAACAACATTAAACACTACAGAGGATAAAACCCTATAGAGCCTGGAGGCCTATTTCCATACTGGTCCTACAATAGTATGGAAATTATTCACCTGAGGTATGGCTGCTTGTATACATATAAATTACAGTACACAACGGTGTGTGTGGTATGCTATCTGGGAGGGGGGTGGGGAGGGTCGTTGTTCGCCGTAACAAATGGACAATATAGTTTATAGTAAATTAGAGCAGTGAATAAGTGAGAAGGTCAATATCTTACCAAGTTGAGGTATTGAAGTTGAGTTAGTTGTAGGTGTACATGATGCATGTTCAACCATCAGTAGAGGAAACATCAACAACAGGAGAACACAGGACACCATGTCTATGGGGAAGAGAGAGAGAGAGAGAGACAACCAGAGGAGAACACAGGACAACATGTCTATGGGGAAGAGAGAGAGAGAGAGAGAGACAACCAGAGGAGAACACAGGACAACATGTCTGTGGGGAAGAGAGAGAGAGAGAGAGAGACAACCAGAGGAGAACACAGGACAACATGTCTATGGGGAAGAGAGAGAGAGAGAGAGAGACACCAGAGGAGAACACAGGACAACATGTCTATGGGGAAGAGAGAGAGAGAGAAGACAACCGAAAGGGGAACCAAGGACACATGTCTATGGGGAAGAGAGAGAGTAGACAAAACCCGAGGAGAACACAGGGCAACATTCCCCATGGGGAAGAAAAGAGAGAGAGAAAAAACCGAGGAGAACACAGGACAGCATGTCTATGGGAGAGAGAGAGAGAGAGAGAAGAGAGAGAACACCAGAGGAGAACAAGGAACATGTCTATGGGAAAAGAAGGAGACAACCAGAGGAGAAAACAGGGCAACATGTCTATGGGGAAGAGAGAGAGAAGGAGAGACAACCAAGGAGACACGGACACATGTCTAGGGAAGAGAGAGAGAGAGAGGACCCCCAGAGGAGAACACAGGCAAACAAGTCTATGGGGAAAAAAGAGAGAGGGGGAAGACAACAAGGAGAACACGGACAACATGTCTATGGGGAAAAAGAGAGAGAGAAGACACCAGAGGAGAACACAGGACAACATGTCCCTGGGAAGGAAGAGAGAGAGAGAGCACCAGGAGAACCAGGACAAAATTCTATGGAGAAGAGAGAGGAGAGAGGAGACCCCCAGGGGGAGAACACAGGACAACATGTCTTTGGGGAAGAGAGAAGAAAAGAGAGAGAACCAGAGGAGAACACAGGACAACATGTCTAAAGGGAGAGAGAGAGAGAGGAACCAGAGGGGAACACAGGACAACATGTCTAGGGGAAGAGAGAGAAGAGAGAAGAAACCAAAGGGGAACACAGACACATGTCATGGGGAAGAGAGAGAATGGGGGACCAAACCCGAGGAACACAACAACAATGTCTTGGGGAAGAGAAGAGGAGAACAACCAGAGGAGAACACAGAGACAACATGTTTGGGGAAGAGAGAGAGAGAGAGAGAGACAACCAGGAAACCAGGCAACATGTCCTATGGGAAAGAAAGAGAGAGAGAAAACCCCCCCCCAAAACCAGAAGGGGAACAAAGGGCCATGTCCCACTGGGAAGAGAGAGAGAGGAGAGAGCCCAAGGATAACACAGGACAACATGTCTAATGGGAAGATAGAAGAGAGAGAGAGACCAAGGAGAACACATGACACATGTCTATGGGGAAGAGAGAGAGATAGAGAGAGAGAACCAGAGGATAACACAGGAACACATGTCTATGGTGAAGAAGAGAGAGAGAGATGACACCCAGAGGGAAAACCAGGACACACATGTCTGTGGGAAGAGAGAGAGAGGAGAGAGGAAACCAGAGAGGAAGAACAACACAGGACAACATGTCTATGGGGAAGACGAGAGAGAGAGAGAGAGAGAGAGAGACATCAACCGATCACCAAAATGTTATACTTTAAATATACTTAAAAAGGTAAGACATATATGATGACATACTACAACTTGTAATGGAGGTTTCCATTAAAGTATATCACGCAACAAACTTGTCATCACAAATGAATGACGTTATCCCATATTACAGTATTATCAGAAGTGAATGTTGAGTTACCTGCCGCAGAGAGGTCTCAGTGAAGGATCCTGGGGGTTCTTTATGCTACCAACCCTCAACACTATTTATCCCAGCTCTGAGAGATCCACGTGTTCTTATCTGCCACGTCTGAGACACATAACCGTAAACAAAGCTATAAGGAACAAACTTGTTTTGAACAATAATGATTTAGTGCTTCTTTTACAGGAAAGTGTGATGGAATTTACTGGAAAGTACAAGCTTACCAAAACAGGGTCAATAGCCAGAAGGATAAACAACTAAAACAATAACCCTAGTTGATCATCAATCAATGCCTCATAAAAGATTCTCATGTTACTTTGATTGCTACTTCAAACCGTTTAATCTGTGTGAGGCCACAGACACAGCTTGTCTCCTATCCGCCAGGTCTGGGAGACTGGAAACTGGTCTCAACCCTTTACTTACAGACACAGCTTGTCTCCTATCCGCCAGGTCTGGGAGACTGGAAACTGGTCCCAACCCTTTACCTACAGACACAGCTTGTCTCCTATCCGCCAGGTCTGGGAGACTGGAAACTGGTCTCAACCCTTTACCTACAGACACAGCTTGTCTCCTATCCGCCAGGTCTGAGAGACTGGAAACTGGTCCCAACCCTTTACCTACAGACACAGCTTGTCTCCTATCCGCCAGGTCTGAGAGACTGGAAACTGGTCCCAACCCTTTACCTACAGACACAGCTTGTCTCCTATCCGCCAGGTCTGGGAGACTGGAAACTGGTCTCAACCCTTTACCTACAGACACAGCTTGTCTCCTATCCGCCAGGTCTGGGAGACTGGAAACTGGTCTCAACCCTTTACCTACAGACACAGCTTGTCTCCTATCCGCCAGGTCTGAGAGACTGGAAACTGGTCCCAACCCTTTACCTACAGACACAGCTTGTCTCCTATCCGCCAGGTCTGGGAGACTGGAAACAAAGTTCTAAAGAACAAAGAAGTTGGAATCAGTCAATATTAATTTAGGGTGGATCTCAAATGGCACCATATTCCTATAGTGTACTACTGTTGTCCAGGACCCATAAGGTCAAAATAAGTGCACTGTATAGGTAATAGGATGCCATTTGAGACACTTGGGATGCGTTTACACAGGCAGCACAATTCCGATCCTTTTTTCACTAATTGGTCTCTTGTCTAATCAGATCAGCTCTTTGCCAATAATTGGGGGTAAAGATCAGAATTGGGCTGCCTGTGTAAACACAGCCTTCTTGTCTCCTATTGGCCAGGCCTGAGAGATACAACTTCTAACACAGTTATAAAGAACAAAGACGTTATAATCAAATAAGAGATCACTGTGATGTCATATATACGGGAAAGTCCAAGCCTACCTCAGCAAAATGGGGTCGATGATGAAGCCGACATAAATAAACCTAGTTGAAGATCAACGCCTCACGTAATATAAAAGATCTTTGCGTTGCTTTTATTGCTACTTCTATAGCTACTCCCTCTGTGAGGCCATTACAACATTCCACTACAGGAAAAAGAAGCCAATCCTTTTACTATAGAAAGCACGCTTGTTGAAACGTGTAGACCAGTGTTTTTTCATCCTGGTCCACGGGACGTAAAGGGATGCTCATTTTTATTTTTCCCCTAGCACTATACAGAGCATTCGGAAAATATTCAGACCCCTTCCCTTTTTCCACATTTCGTTACGTAACAGCCTTATTCTAAAATGGATTACATTACTTTTTTTTCCTCATCAATCTACATACAATACCCCATAATGACAAAGCGAAACCAGGTGTTTAGGACATTTTTGCAAATGTATTTAAAATAAAAAACAAAAATACATTTTTTACATAAGTTTTCAGACCCTTTGCTATGAGACTCGAAGTTGAGCTCAGGTGCATCCTGTTTCCATTGATCATCCTTGAGATGTTTCTACAACTTGATTGGAGTCTACTTGTGGTAATTTCATTGATTGGACATGATTTGGAAAGGCACACACCTGTCTACAGTTGAAGTCAGAAGTTTACATACACTTAGGTTGGAGTCATTAAAACCAGTTTTTCAACCACTCCACAAATGTCTCGTTAACAAACTATAGTTTTGACAAGTCGGTTAGGACATCTACTTTGTGCATGACACAAGTAATTTTTCCAACAATTGTTTACAGACAGATTATTTCACATATAATTCACTATATCACAATTCCAGTGGGTCAGAAGTTTACATACACTAAGTTGACTGTGCCTTTAAACAGATTGGAAAATTCCAGAAAATGATATTATGGCTTTAGAAGCTTCTGATAGGCTAATTGACATCATTTGAGTCAATTGGAGGTGTACCTGTGGATGTATTTCAAGGCCTACCTTCAAACTCAGTGCCTCTTTGCTTGACATCATAGGAAAATGAAAAGAAATCAGCCAAGACCACAAATTGTAGACCTCCACAAGTCTGGTTCATCCTTGAGAGCAATTTCCAAATGCATGAAGGTACCACGTTCATCTGTACAAACAATAGTATGCAAGTATAAACACCATGGGACCACGCAGCCGTCATACCGCTCAGGAAGGAGACGCGTTCTGTCTCCTAGAGATGAACGTACTTTGGTGCGAAAAATGCAAATCAATCCCAGAACAACAGCAAAGGACCTTGTGAAGATGCTGGAGGAAACAGGTACAGAAGTATCTATATCAACAGTAAAACGAGTCCTATATCGACATAACCTGAAAGGCCGCTCAGCTAGGAAGAAGCCACTGTTCTAAAACCGCCATAAAAAAGCCAGACTACGGTTTGCAACTGCACATGGGGACAAAGATCGTACTTTTGGGAGAAATGTCCTCTGGTCTGATTAAACAAAAATAGAACTGTTTGGCCATAATGACCACCGTTATGTTTGGAGGAAAAACGGGGTTACTTGCAAGCCGAAGAACACCATCCCAACCGTGAAGCACGGGGTGGCAGCATCATGCTGTGGGGGTGCTTTGCTGCAGGAGGGACTTGTGCACTTCACAAAATAGATGGCATCATGAGGAAGATTATGTGAATATATTGAAGCAACATCTCAAGACATCAGTCAGGAAGTTAAAGCTTGGTCGCAAATGGGTCTTCCAAATGGACAATGACCCCAAGCATACATCCAAAGTTGTGGCAAAATGGCTTAAGGACAACAAAGTCAAGGTATTGGAGTGGCCATCACAAAGCCCTGACCTCAATCCTATAGAACATTTGTGGGCAGAACTGAAAAAGCGTGTGCGAGCAAGGAGGCCTACAAACCTGACTCAGTTACAACAGCTCTGTCAGGAGGAATGGGCCAAAATTCACCCAACTTATTGTGGGAAGCTTGTGGAAGGCTACCCAAAATGTTTGACCCAAGTTAAACAATTTAAAGGCAATGCTACCAAATACTAATTGAGTGTATGTAAACTTCTGACCCACTGGGAACGTGTTGACACAGTTGACAGTGCATGTCAGAGCAAAAACAAAGCCAGGATTGTGTCAAAGCACAGATACAGATCTGGGGAAGGGTACCAAAAAATGTCTGCCGCCTTGAAGATCCCCAAGAACACAGTGGCCTCTATCTTTCTTAAATGGAAGAAGTTTCGAACAACCAAGACTCTTCCTAGAGCTGGCCGCCCGGCCAAACTGAGCAATCGGGGGAGAAGGGCCTTGGTCAGGAAGGTGACCAAGAACCCGATGGTCACTCTGACAGAGCTCTAGAGTTCCTCTGTGGAGATGGGAGAACCTTCCAGAAGGACAACCATCTCTGCAGCACTCCACCAATCAGGCCTTTATGGTAGAGTGGACAGACGGAAGCCACTCCTCAGTAAAGGGCACATGACAGCCCGCTTGGAGTTTGCCAAAAGGCACCTAAAGACTCTCTGACCATGAGAAACAAGATTCTCTGGCGTCATACCCAAGAAGACTCGAGGCTGTAATCTCTGTGGTGCTTCAACAAAGTACTGAGTAAAGGGTCTGAATACTTACATAAATATGATATTTCAGTCTTATTTGTTTATTTGCAAACATTTGTAAAAACCTGTTTTTGCTTTGTCATTATCGGGTATTGTGTGTAGATTGATAGGGGGGGGGGGGACAATTCAATCTATTTTAGAATAAGGGCTGTAACATAACAAAATGTGGAAAAAGTCAAGGGGTTTGAATACTTTCCGAATGCACTGTACACCTGATTCCACTAATCACAGGTTTGATGATGAAGTTGATTAGTGTAGTTCTAAGGCAAAAACTACAACGACCAACGACCCCTTTGTGAGGTCATCCCCAGGACCAGGAAGAAGAAACACTGGTGTAGACAGGTGACAACCAGGACCAGGGCCTGTATCCACAAAGGGTCTTACACTGAACAACAAAATATAAACACAACATGTAAAGTGTTGGTCCCATTTTTGCACGAGCTGAAAATAAAAGATACCACAAATTTTCCATACGCACAAAAAGCTTATTTCTCTCCAGTTTTGGGCACAATTTTGTTTTACATCCCTGTTAGTGAGCATTTCTCCTCTGCCAAGATTATCCATCCACCTGACAGGTGTGGCATATCAAGAAGCTGATTAAGCAGCATGATCATTACACAGGTGCACCTTGTGCTGGGGAGAATAAAAAATCACTCTAAAATGTGCAGTTTTGTCACACAACACAATGCCACAGATGTCTCCAGTTTTGAGGGAGCGTGCAATTGGCATGCTGACTGCAGGAATGTCCACCAGAGCTGTTGCCAGAGAATGTAATGTTCATTTCTCTACCATAAGCCGGCTCCAACGCCATTTTAGAGAATTTGGCAGTACGTCCAACCGGCCTCACAACCGCAGACCACGTGTAACCACGCCAGCCCAGGGCCTCCACATCCGGCTTCTTCACCTGCGGGATCGTCTGAGACCAGCCACCCAAGACAGCTGATGAAACTGAGGTGTATTTCTATCTGTAATAAATCCCTTTTGTGGGGAAAAACTAATTATGTTTGACTGGGCCTTGCTCCACAGTGGGTGGGCCTATGCCCAGTTATGTGAAATCCATAGATTAGGGCCTAATTAATTTATTTCAATTGACTGATTTCCTCATGTGAACTGTAACTCAGTAAAATTGTTGAAATTTGTTGTATGTTGCGTTTATACTTTTGTTCAGTATAGAATAGGTGCGGATCTAGGGTCTGTCCATATAATCTTATTCATTATGGTCTATATGAGACTAAACTGATCCTAGATCAGTGCTCCTACTCCGAGAGGCTTTGTGGACGCAGGGCTAAGAAACACTGGTGGTGACAACAGGGCCATCTGTCCATCCAGTACCCGATTCATACCACTAGGGGAGACAAAAGGTTGTTTTCAATGGAAGTGTGGACATTGACACTGTATGGTTCTCATCTTCCAACAATCATGCTATTGTAATTATAGAATACACCAGAGATGTCCAATCAGAAGGTCTCTCTTTTTCGCCCTCTCTCTCTTGGTTCATTTTCACATAGGCCCTTTCTCAATTGGATTCCATAATTTCCTCCCGTCCTCTCCTCGTCAGAGGATGGAAGGAGAGAGAACGTGTGGAAACAGGATCCAAGGAAAAGCGTTTGTAAGAAACGACGCTGTCTAGAGTAGTCTCTCCTAATGTCCTAAGAGTTGAGATCTAGAGAGAAGCTCATCTGCTCTATAAAATCATCCAGGTTAATAATTCACAGGATTATTTTTACCCTCAGAATGAACCAACTGAATAACTAATCCAACACTCACATGCCTGCATGTGCACGGACACACCACACACACACACCACACACACACACCACACACACACACACACATACACACACTCACACCCACACACACACGTCTTGAAAGACTGATAAGGCACTTGTAACTAACATTGTGATAGCTACAACATCTCCCTCCCCTCTCCCCTCCTCCCGCTCTCCCCCCCCCCGCTCTCTCTCTCTCTCTCTCTCTCTCTCTCTCTCTCTCTCTCTCTCTCTCTCCTCTCTCTCTCTCTCCTCTCTCCCCTCTCTCCCTCTCGCTCTCTCCCCTTATCTACCTCTCTCCCGCTCTCTCTCGCTCTCTCCCCTTATCTCCCTCTCTCTCCCCCCTCCCTCCTCCCTCCTCCCTCCTCCTCCTCCTCTCCTCCCCTCCCTCTCCCCCTCCCTCCTCCCTCTCCCCTTATCCCTCTTTCTTCCCCTCCCTCCCTCTCCCTCCCCCCTCCCCCTCCCACCTCTCTCTCCTCCTCCTCTCCTCTCCTCCCCCCTCCCTCCTCCTTCTCCTCTCCTCCCCCCTCCACCTCCCTCTTCCCTCTTCCCCCTCTCTCCTACCACTACTACTCTGATATGACCAGTCTATTTACAGCAGCAGTGAGATAAGGGGCCTTCAGGACACACGCACAGAGAAAAATACACAAAGAGAGAGAGAGAGAGAGAGAGAGAGAGAGAGAGAGAGAGAGAGAGAGAGAGAGAGAGAGAGAGAGAGAGAGAGAGAGTCTTCAGGAGACACAGACACAAATAATTCAGCTTCTCCCACTGCATTAAGTGCATTAACCCAATCTGGCAACGGGGTCTTCCTGCATGAATATGAACTGGCAACCCATCTGGCCCTCTTCAGGAAATATTCATCCAGTGTGCGGCCCGATTGGCACCCTACATTCCCTCTATAGTGCAATACTTGCTCCCGAGTGGCGCAGTGGTCTAAGGCACTGCATCGCAGTGCTAACTGTGCCACTAGAGATCCTGGTTCGAATCCAGGCTCTGTCGCAGCCGGCCGCGACCGGGAGACCCATGGGGCGGCGCACAATTGGCCCAGGGTAGGGGAGGGAATGGCCGGCAGGGATGTAGCTCAGTTGATAGAGCATGGTGTTTGCAACGCCAGGGTTGTGGGTTCGATTCCCATGGGGGGCCAGTATTTTTTTTTTAAAAAGAAGGAAAAAAATAATAAAATAAAAAATGTATTCGCTCTGGATAAGAGCGTCTGCTAAATGACTAAAATGTAAAAATGTACTTGACCAGGGCCCATGGGGGAATATGGTGCCATTTGAGACCTGACCGTAGATTACCTCATTCATTTATAGTGTTACATTGCATTCGGAAAGTATTCAGACCACTTGGCATGTTTCAAGCAGACCACCATAGTCCCTGTGCCCCAAGAACACTAAGGTAACCTGCCTAAATGACCACTGACACGTAGCACTCACGTCTGTAGCCATGAAGTGCTTTGAAAGGCTGGTCATGGCTCACATCAACACCATTATCCCAGAAACCCTAGACCCACTACAATTTGCATACCGCCCTAACAGATCCACAGATGTTGCAATCTCTATTGCACTCCACACTGCCCTTTCCCATCTGGACAAGAGGAACACCTACGTGAGAATGCTATTCATTGACTACAGCTCAGCGTTCAACATCATGGTGTCCTCAAAGCTCATCACTAAGCTAAGGACCCTGGGACTAAACACCTCCCTCTGCAACTGGATCCTGAACTTCCTGACGGGCCGGCCCCCTCAGGAAGTCCGTTGGGACAGATGCGAACTGGCTGAATCGATTCAGTGGCTAGCTTTGCACTTACAGTGAGGGAATTAAGTATTTGATCCCCTGCTGATCTCACCGTTCTCATGATCATTGCAACTCCACGAGGTGAGATCTTGCATGGAGCCCCAGGCCGAGGGAGATTGACAGTTATTTTGTGTTTCGTCCATTTGCGAATAATCGCACCAACTGTTGTCACCTTCTCACCAAGCTGCTTGGCGATGGTCTTGTAGCCCATTCCAGCCTTGTGTAGGTCTACAATCTTGTCCCTGACATCCTTAGAGAGCTCTTTGGTCTTGGCCAAGGTGGACAGTTTGGAATCTGATTGATTGATTGCTTCTGTGGACAGGTGTCTTTTATACAGGTAACAAGATGAGATTAGGAGCACTCCCTTTAAGAGTGTGCTCCTAATCTCAGCTCGTTACCTGTATAAAAGACACCTGGGAGCCAGAAATCTTTCTGATTGAGAGGGGATCAAATACTTATTTCCCTGTAGTAAATACTTGTGGTCCTCTGTAGCTCAGCTGGTAGAGCACGGCGCTTGTAACGCCAAGGTAGTGGGTTCGATCCCCGGGACCACCCATACACAAAAAATTTATGCACGCATGACTGTAAGTCGCTTTGGATAAAAGCGTCTGCTAAATGGCATATTATTATTATTATTCCCTCATTAAAATGCAAATCAATTTATAACATTTTTAACATGCGTTTTTCTGTATTTTGTTGTTGTTATTCTGTCTCTCACTGTTCAAATAAACCTACCATTAAAATTATAGACTGATCATTTCTTTGTCAGTGGGCAAACGTACAAAATCAGCAGGGGATCTAATACTTTTTTTCCCACACTGTAACTGGCTAACAGTAGCTACTAAGGGTAAGTTATAACCTACATGTATTTTTGTTTTGTTTTTACATACTGGTAGCAAGAGTCGTTCAAGGGAATTCGGGACCTGGGTGACTAGTTAACGTCAGCTTGGCTCTCTCTGTGTGTTTCGTGCCGTCGGAGGAGGGGTTGGTTCGTTGGCAGAGAGAAATGGCTAGCTAGTATGCTAACTATTCTAGCTAACTAACTGGCTGAATAAGTTGACGACGTACTCACTCAAACTGTCAAAACTAACCCAAAACTTTACACAACGTTAGACACGGACACGAATGATCTGTTTAGTGTGTTAACACAGTGCTGGTAGTTTGTTGTAACCGAGTATTGGTGCTAAACCGTGTGTTATTGGAAGCTAGCATGCTAGTTAGCTATGGCGTTATAGGATACGGTGCCCTGGGCGGTTTTCACGGAAGTATACTGTACCTAGTTAGCTAGCTGAATAAACTAAGTTAGAGTCTATTCCTAGGAAACATTGAACCGCTGTAGTTTACAACAATTATCATTTCTAAAGTGGAAGTTGGGAGAGTTATATTTGAGTGTTTCAGTGAAACGTAAGTGAGGGAGGCCCCGCTCTCTTGCTTTCCCAGATGTTTAGTTCATTTCATTCCGATCTCCTTTGCATTATTGTAGCCTTTTTCTGTAGCCTGTCAACTATGTGTCTGTCTATCCCTGTTCTCTCCTCTCTGCACAGGCCATACAAACGCTTCACACCGCGTGGCTGCTGCCACTCTAATCTGGTGGTCCCTGTGCGGACGACCCACGTGGAGTTCCAGGTCTCCGGCAGCCTCTGGAACTGCCGTTCTGCGGCCAACAAGGCAGAGTTCATCACAGCCTATGCTACCCTCCAGTCCCTCGACTTCTTGGCGCTGACGGAAACATGGATTACCACAGAAAACACTGCTACTCCTACTGCTCTTTCCTCGTCTGACCATGTGGTCAGCGCGGGCGGTGGCACAGGAATCCTCATCTCTCCCAAGTGGACATTCTCTCTTTTTCCCCTGACCCATCTGTCTATCTCCTCATTTGAATTCCATGCTGTCACAGTCACTAGCCCATTCAAGCTTAACATCCTTATCATTTATCGCCCTCCAGGTTCCCTTGGAGAGTTCATCAATGAGCTTGACGCCTTGATAAGTTCCTTTCCTGAGGATGGCTCACCCCTCACAGTTCTGGGTGACTTTAACCTCCATACGTCTGCCTTTGACTTATTTCTCTCTGCCTCCTTCTTTCCACTCCTTTCCTCTTTTGACCTCACCCTCTCACTGTCCCCCCCCTACTCACAAGGCAGGCAATACGCTTGACCTCATCTTTACTAGATGCTGTTCTTCTACTAATCTCACTGCAACTCCCCTCCAAGTCTCCGACCACTACTTTGTATCCTTTTCTCTCTCGCTCTCCTCCAACACTACTCACTCTGCCCCTACTCTGATGGTAATGTACTGTCGCAACCTTCGCTCTCTCTCTCCCGCTACTCTCTCCTCTTCCATCCTATCATCTCTTCCCTCTGCTAAATCCTTCTCCCTCCGATCTCCTGATTCTGCCTCCTCAACCTTCCTCTCCTCCCTTTCTGCATCTTTTGACTCTCTATGTCCCCTATCCTCCCGGCCGGCTCGGTCCTCCCCTCCTGCTCCGTGGCTTGACGACTCATTGCGAGCTCACAGAAGAGGGCTCCGGGCAGCCGAGCGGAAATGGAGGAAAACTAGACTCCCTGCGGACCTGTAATCTTTTCACTCCCTCCTCTCTACATTCTCTTCCTCTGTTTCCGCTGCTAAAGCCACTTTCTACCACTCTACATTTCAAGCCTCTGCATCTAACCCTAGGAAGCTATTTGCCACCTTCTCCTCCCTGCTGAATCCCCCTCCTCCCCCTCCCTCATCCCTCTCTGTGGATGACTTCATCAACCATTTTGAAAAGAAGGTTTGACGACATCCAATCCTCATTTTTAAGTCAAATGACACCGCTGGTCCTGCTCACACTGCCCTACCCTATGCTTTGACTTATTTCTCCCCTCTCTCTCCAGATTAAATCTTGCGACTTGTGACGGCCGGCCGGCCGCCCAACAACCTGCCCGCTTGACCCTATCCCCTCCTCTCTTCTCCAGACCTCTTCTCAAGTCTAGGTCCAAAAGGCTTCTTAACAGCTTCTACCCTCAAGCCATAAGACTCCTGAACAGCTAATCATGGCTACCCGGACTATTTTCATTGTCTGTTAGATGGATGGATGTATGAGGAGGAGGGAGGGAAGTGTAGGTAATGATGTGTATGGGGTACTGTCGAGTGTTTGTGTTGGTGGAAACGTGGGGGTGGGTGTCACAATAGGTAAGTTTTCCTGTGGGGAGTGTTGGGGATAAGTGGTGTTAGTTGGTAACGTGTATAGGAGGCATGGGTAGGATAGTGGGAGACGGAGTTGGGGGGGTGTGGGAATAGTGGAGTTTTTGGGCGTATTAATTGGTGGCTGGAGGTGGTTAGCGGGATAAGGG